TTTGCTCCAGGTGGGGTCATTTGGGTCACCTGAGCTTTACCTATAATTGTAAGGATGACAAGAAGCTGGCAGATTTCAGTAAGGCTACAGAAAGTGAAGGTACCACCCTTTAAGATGGCTACCAAATGCATTATTGCTTCTAGACTGCATTTTTTAACTTCCCTTTTCTTTCCCAACCCTTTTTCCTCCTGTGTTGTGTCTTTTTAAGATAATAAATCTGAGGGTTGAAGCTGTTAATTAATCTGTAAATTGCTATGGGAGCTTTCTAGCTGAACAACAGCACGTCAATGGTCTAAACAAATAAACAGAATTGCAAGTGCAACAGCAGTGGGCGGATATGTCAAAGTATTAAAAGTTGTATCCAGTTGTCTTGTATCCTTGAGAATGAAATCATAGTTTTCCCTTTCCCCCTGTAGTCCACATCTGCCCTGAAGCAAATTTTGAGCTGAGAAGGGCTGTAGGTAGAAGAGGACAGAGAAGCCCCATCATATGCAATTGGATCCAATCTTTAATGTTTGAAAGCTGTCCTGCTTTTTGCTATTCTAGAAAGGCAAGTAAACATGATTACAGGTAATCCCCAGATTACAAGCAACCCACACGTACTCACATAGAGTCTTCCATAAACTCTATATGAGTATCTCTAATGAAAAGCTGTGAATATCTTGAGGGAACTACACAACGTGTTTGGCAATGCATCTTTCAGTGGTCACACAGTTCCCTAGAAATACAGTATTCAAAGCTTTTCATTCCGTGGCATCCGGAGCCTCGACTCCAGTTGGTAACCACCCGACCCCCCAGCAGCACAATCAGATCCTGACTCTCCAGCACCAAGTCCACCTCCATCATCATCAGTTAGGTTTAATGTCAACTCAAGAACATTCTAAAACATTTTAATAACCGTTTCTTTTATTTGTGTTTTACAATACTATATTTCACTCATACACACAGATTCTCTCTCTCCTCAGTACCTGTAGTTATTTCATTATCACTGTATTATCATTATTACAATGCCATAT